ATGAGGGTGAGTAATGGTGACAGAAACTACATTTTGGGGGGAACTATCCCTTTAAGACTGAAAAAGTCACCCCAGGCTGCTCACTGGTCATGTGTCTAATAATCACTATGTCATCACCATCCAAAATTGTTCCAGCTCTGATTCACAATGTTTTATTATATGTACCATTCAATGTATGATGATATATTATACCTCAAAAGGTTCTCCCCATTTTTCTGGTGCATCATGCAGATGCTTATCTCTCCTGACAGTTTCTTATTGCTTTGTCGAAACCAGTATGATACAAGTGCCCTGACCTTTTCATCCGTACACTCGCTCCATGGTTATGGATATGGCAATGGGGGCTGAGACAGACACTGAAGGACCTCTGTTGAATTTGAATACCTCTGCTGCCTGAGGGCTGAGTTTGGGAGGTGGAAGTACACATATGCTGGGTTAAGATTAGAATTACCATCTGCTGTCAAACCATTTGTTCTTAGCTCTGTGAGGCGAAAAATTACATTTGAATTTAGATTTATTGGCGTGATTGTTTTGCATACAATATTGGCACAGCATCCAGACATACACTCACTCTCACACACACACGCCTTAAAAAAGTACTACTGGTCAAAAGTTTTTAATGTTTTTGAAATAAGTCTCTTATATTCAACAAAGCTGAATTTATTTGATAAAAACAGTAGTATTGTGAAATATTATTAAAATTTAAAATACCTGTTTGTTTTCTATATATTTATATTGTATATATATTTTAAAATGTAATTTATTCCTGTGATTCAAAGCTGAAATTTCAGCATAATTACTTCAGTCTTCAGTGTTACATGATCCTTCAGAAATAATTTTAATATGCCGATTTGCTGCTTATTATTATAAAAAAAGAAAGAAAAAAGAAAGAAAGAAATTAATACTTTTATTCAGCAACGATGCAATACATTGATGATCTTATCAAAGAATCCTGAAAAAAAAAACATGTATCACAGTTCCCCCAAAAAATATTAAGCAGCATAAACTGTTTTCAACACTGATAATAATAAAAACCATTATTAATAATTGAGCACCAAATCAGCATATTAGAATAATTTCTGAAGGAACATGTGACACTGAAGACTGGAGTAATGATGCTGAAAATTCAGTTTTGCACCACAGGAATAGAATAGAATAGAATAGAATAGAATAGAATAGAATAGAATAGAATAAAATAAAAATTGCACAGAGAAATGGCACTTTGATATAAAAAACAGTATTTGCAGCTGTAGAAAAGAGGCATCATCTTCTGTGAGTTCTTTCAGCTGGGTCCTGTCTCCGGGAATTTGTATGAGGGCACTTGATAAGGAATTTGATAATGGCTCCGCGTTATCGTCTGGGCAGAACTATTGTTCCAGCCACCAAAGACAGATTCACAAATAACCTGCCTGATTTATCTCAACTGCTCTGTGTACCAATAAGTACACATGAACTAGACGAAATAACTAGCAACATGGGCATTATCTTCTCTAATACATTAGAAGCTGTTGCCTCAATCAAATTGAAAAAGGTTAGAGAAAAACGTACTGCGCCATGGTACAACAGTAATACCCATTCTCTCAAGAAAAAAACTCGTAGTATTGAGCGCAAATGGAGAAAAACTAACTTGGAAGTTTTTAGAATTGCGTGGAAAAACAGTATGTCCAGCTATAGACAGGCTCTAAAAGCTGCCAGGGCCGAGCATATCCACAAACTCATAGAAAATAACCAAAACAATCCTAGGTTTTTATTTAGCACAGTGGCTAGATTAACGCTATATAAATAAAGGTGACTTGACTTGACTTGACTTGAGAGTCACATCCTGGCAGGAGTGAGATCTGAGCACTGCGGCTTCAGCGGATGAGAGAGGTGTTGAAAAGACAAGATTCATCCCCTGGCAATTATAACAGCCATGGAAGTAATCTGTTCCACCACAGGGGATCAGAGTGAGGGTGCTGACCTAAAAATAAATCCCTGTCATTGAAGTCCCATTGAAAAGCTGCAAAATAACAAACAATGCCCACATCATGGTGACTTTCAGCAGTAGTTCTTTCCGTAATTCTCTCTGGGGCGCAAAGGAATAGTTCAAATTCTGTCATTGTTTACTCATTCTCAAATCATGGGGAGAATATTTGAATAATCTTCATGCAGTTTTCATCCATTCAACATTTCACACATTGCCTGTCAAGCTCCAAAGAGGACAGAAAACCCATAATGGACTGTCTATACAAATAGAGTGCAGCATGGCTGATGTGTTTTTGTTGGCCAAAACAAAGTTAGTATTTATCACTTATGGTTCCATCGTCCCCAAAAATTGAAAAAAAATTATTTTTTTTTTAAATGTACTCATCCTCCGGCCATCCAAGATGTAGATGAGTTTGTTTCTTCATCTGAAATGTTTTTTTGGAGAAATGTAGCATTCCATCACTTGCTCACCAATGGATCATATGCAGTGAATGGGTGCCGTCAGAGTGAAAGTCCAAACAGCTGATGAAAACATAACAGTAATCCACAAGTAATTCACACCACTCCAGTCCATCAATTAATGTCTTGGGAAACAAAAATCTGCATGCTTTTAAGAAACAAATCCATCATGAAGACGTTTTAACTTCAATCCGTTTTTTCCCCCAGCTAAAATACAAGTCCTCTATCCATAATATTGCTTTTTTTTTCTGTGAAAAAATTGTTTCCACCTGAATCAGGAGAGAAATATGCTCAGATCAAGGACAGTTTACAAGCAAAAACAGTCCAAAACAGTTCTAAACAAATGTGTTGATAGATTTTAATGTGAATTAATATTGATTTTGGACTGATGTTTTGGCCAGAAGATACGATTCAAACTTAAAATGCTTTATTAATGGATTTGTTTCTTACAAACACACAGATTTTCACATACAAGATGTTAATTGATGGACTGAAGTCATGTGGAATACTTGTGGATTATTGTGATGTTTTTATCAGCTGTTTGGACTCTAATTCTGACGGCACCCATTCACTGCAGAGGATCCATCGGTGAGCAAGTGATGTAATGATGTAATAATTTTGTATGTATGTATGGACTGTTTGAATGGATATAAGGGTGCAGAAATTAATTTTTTGTGTGAGCTATCCCTTTAAGTGCTCTTCTGCATTCATACTGAGTAAATCTGTAGTTAAGAGTCCCGGCCCCCTCCTTTCCCATCACAGTCTCTCAGCAACATCAGCTCAGGAAGAGTCTCCTCCTCCCTCCATTTAGATAAATCCCGCTGTTGAGGCGCATGATGACATAAACATTATTGATTTTGCAACATCCTGTCTTCACTTAGGAACGCTCTACAGTTTCTATGAGAGAAATCATATGCATTACAGGAAGACCACTGACTGTCAGACCATTGAATGTTTGTCTGAAAACTGATACTCCTTCCCCTAGAGAGCTGCGGATGGCATTGCCTCATTGGGATGAGATAACCAACCATGCTCAAATTTTGTGAATCACAGCAGGTTTTCACTTATGTGACATAAACAGAGCAGAGAGAACAGAAGTCAAGGTGACCTGATCAGTCAGACGGAGAAGACAAATAACTAAACAAACAAAACAGGCTACATTGTTTTTGATAGAACTTCGCTGAGAATTAATTAATAAAGTCAAAATGGAAAACTGACCCAGTAACATAGTTGTTGTGCACTGAAGTCTTAGTCTATAGGGTCGAACAGCAAGAGCTTTTTCCATACTTCACATCAGTGGGTCTGTAAAGATTAACTTTAGCTTTTCTTGGATGACTGGGTACTGAGCTAAGGCCACAATATGCATAATATGATATCTGAAATGTTTCCATTCAGAGACTGGAAATAACATCTTTCGCTGAATGCAAAAAGATTGTTTTATAGGCCACCAGATAAAGTAAAATAAGAAAAGAACAAATTTAGAGCAACATTTTTTTCTTGTCCTTACCAAGAATATCAAGAATTTAGCGTCAGTGGTGACTCTGGTTACATGGTTGCATAACTATATGGGAAGACCTGAAGAAGCCAGAATAAGAAAGTAATGTAATGTAACTCCTTAATAAATTGCTACAATGCAGAGGATAAAAGTAACTCACAATCCTAAAAGTAAACAAATAAACAAACAAACAAACAAATAAATAAATAAATGTCAGTAACAAACAACAACCAACCTAATATATTTCAATACAATTTATTATATCTTTTTAAATAAATATTTTAGTAACAAACAACAACCAAACTAACACATTTCATTACAATTTATTATTATTTTTTTTTTAATCAAATAAATAGGCTTTTATGATGCAGTAACAAATAGCAACCAAACAAATACATTTCACAATTTATTTATTTTGAAATCAATCAATCAATAAATAGAATATTATTTATATTTCCGTAGCAAACAACAACCAAACAAATACATTTCAATACATTTATTATCTATTTTTAATAAATGAATGAATTAATAAACAAACAAACAAACAACTAACACCTTACAATACAATTTATTGTTTTTAAGAAATAAATATACTGCTATTTATTTTGCAGTATCAAACAACAACCAAACAAATCAATACATTTCACAATTTATTTATTTTTAAATACACAACCAAACAAACTAATAATAAACAATTATTTTCTTTAGAAAACGTATGTATAAATAAATAAATACATTTTACTGTTTTTCAAGAAGGCATTACTTGCATACATTATTGTATTGAATGCTGCATACACACTAAAGCACGTCACCAATAATATGATATGATATGATATGATATGATATGATATGATAATTGATTCTATCTGAGGCTCCAGCGCGTGGTAGACAGAAGCGGAGTGACCAGGTCTCTCTGGGGAAGGAGGGAGAGGGACATCTAATTGGTTTCTCAATGAAACAATCGTCCTAGTCTGCAGGAAGGGAGCGCACGGAGCGCAGTTGATCTGTGCTGAAGTAAATCTTGACTATAGAGTTGGAAGAACATCATTCAGCGGGTGTTTATTCGGTCCAAACTTCTAACATGAGCAAATTAGACGAAGAATTTGCCAAGATGCTGTTGACAAAAGAGGAGCGGATAACGGAAATGGAGAGGCTGCTGTTGGCGAAAGAGCAGGAGGTGAATGAACTGAAGAGAAAGCTGCACAAATGTCAGTCAGTGCTGCCGAGCGCTATTGGACCCGGACCCAGAACCAGGCGCGCGCAGGGCATCTCCGCGGAACCGCAGACCTTCAGGTCCTTCCAGGACTTAAAGAGCGAAGCTTTGCGCAAACACCCCAAGTCGGACAGGTAAGAGCCCTTCGTTTACTATCTATAGACGTGTATTCTTTGCATTGGTGTCAAAACCAGGCTGTGGATGGTTTATGACCGAATCGAGTCTCTGTTACCCGGCGGTGTGACTATACTACTGCACTATACAAGAGTACATGGTAACACTTTATATTAAGGTGCTGTAGTTACCATGTTATACATATTTACTATAGAAATAACAGCAAATTATGCATAATTACAAGTGACTAACCATAAACTAACCATTAACACTATAATAAGTACATAGTTAAATAGCAATTACATGTGTAATTGCACTGTATCAATGTCAATGTATTTAACTATACTATACTATACTATACTATACTATATGACAAATTATACTACTATACTATACTACGCAAAACTAAATATACACAATACTATTCTACAAAGGTATATGCAAAATTGTATTATAACATTGCAGAACACTATTATACTATACTATACGGCTAATTATACTACTATACTATGCTATGCTATGCTATACTATACTAGCTATTTAATATGTACAATAATATGCTACGAATGTATATACAAGATTGTATTATCAAATTGTAAAACACTACTATACTATACTATACTATACTGTACTGTACTATACTATACTATACTATACTATACTATACTATACTATGTATTCTATATTATACATAGTACTATACTATACTATACGGCTAATTATACTACTATACTATACTATACTATACTATACTATGCTATGTATTCTATATTATACATAGTACTATACTATACTATACTATACTATACTATACTGGCCTAAATCTGGACTGCAAAAAATTCTAACTTTCAATCGGATCATTTTTTTTTACACTTTTTTTTTTACACTTTGTGATATTTTTACACAATATTTTTTTTTTCACATTTTTACAATGTGAACACAGTTAAGCCTAACAGGTTTATACTATACTATACTATACTATACTATACTATACTGTGAAAATGATTTCAACCTTTTGATTTGTGCAAAGGATAGTAAAGTTTCTGAATTTGCTTGACTAATATACAGATGGGTATCGTGTGTCACCATTGTGTTTCATTGCAGAAATCAGTTCTTAGACGCTTTAGTCATTTACTTGGTATATATTTCTCCCAAGTTTTAGTACTGACAAAAATGTACTGTAGTTTAGAGCAACTTTACTCACTAAATGCGTGCAGCACACATGGTTTTAGAAAAAAAGGTGGTCAATTAGTGTAATAAATAGATTTAAAATGCTTCTGTTTTTACTTTCACCAGTTTTGCCTCTAAATTGTAATAGAATAAGATACTCTTTATTAAAGTGTGTGTAGTATTGAATCAAACTATATGCATGCATCATAATTAGCTGACATTAACATTTATAAATGTTGGTTCAACGATGCCTACAATAATGCATTCACATACAGTAGAAGTCCACATCTGGTCTAATGCTCTCAGACATAAAAGCTCTCTTTCACAGTGTTGCTCAGTGTCCAATAGCCCTAACCTTGTTGAATATTTAATGCTGGCTGTTAAATATTTAATGTCACAGATATTCACTCCTATATTTAGGATTCATATATTGTAACTTTTGACTTTTCCTGGAAAAATGTGGAATGTCCCGCATTTAGCGGGAATAAGTAAACCCCATTTCTGTAAATGTGTATCTTTATTAACCTCTGCAAGGGTCAGCGGGAGCTGTAGCTTTCTGAATATGGTTGAGATCAATGCTACATTTTCATTTCGCTTTTGAATTTAATAAATTGAAAAATGCCGTTTTGGATCACAATAAGCAGTTTTGCCAGTTCTTTTCATCTATTGGCTGTCCTTAAACCACCTAAAAACTGAAATAGCTTCCTGTTAGTAGCCACTAGATGTCAGCAAAATATCATCATCCCACGACGGGTTGATATTAAAACGGAAGAATCTAATGCAATGATATGATATGACAGTGGGCTCTATACTAAGACCTATCATGAAGTGTGGATGGAAAAGATTTTTGGTTAATGATGCCATTGTAATGCCCTGCTTACTTACAAGCATATTTATGACTGTGTAAATAATTTATTCAACAATTAAAAGTGACAGAGAGTAATTGAGTGAGTATTTGTCTGTGTCATGTGATCTCAGCATGGCGGGGAGCAGCCCCATGTAGGATAGAAAAGCTTTTTCTAGGCCACTGATACGACTATAGCCTTTCATATAAGCTATTCACTTAGTAGTATTTTTTTTTTATTATTGTGGAAAAAATGCACAGTTAATACATTTAATTGAGGTTTAAATGAAGCCTTTAATGATTCTTTCATTGAAAAGAAAGCTGAATTAAACAGCTTTTGAAATATATATATTTTTGTAACATTATAAATGTCTTCACTGTTTTGATAAAATGAATGCATTTTTGCTGAATAAAATTTAATTCTTTCTTTCTTTCTTTCTTTCTTTCTTTCTTTCTTTCTCTTTCTCTTACTTACTCCAAACTTTTAAGTGAATCACAGTTTCCACAAAAATATTCAGCAGCAGAAACTTTTTCAACAATGATAAGAATACGAAACGTTTCTTGCGCACCAAATTATCTGAAGGAAAATTTCTGAAGGATCATGTGAAACTGAAGACTGGAGTAATGATGCTGAAAATTCAGCTTTGCATCACAGGAATGAATTATATTTATATAATATTTCACAATATTACAGTTTTTAATCAAATAAATACACCCTTCTCATAAGAAACAACCTATATATATATATATATATATATATATATATATATACAGTATATGAATCTGGGTCCCGAGATGGGCCGACCGAACCGTTCAGTCAAAATCAAGCACGTCATCAGAGAGATTGCAACACGAGCTAGATTTTCAGTAAAAGCTAGATAATGGACCGTAAAAAAGGAAAGGTGGTGCAGAAAAACGTTGAGAAAGGAAAAAAAAAAGGGCTTAAGTCCAACGCTGCTAAATGTGTAAAATTAACCGATCTCTTTTCAAAAGGTTTAAATTCGGCTGCTGCAGCGGAGGATACAGCTAGCACAAGTCATTTTCACACTACTTCTGCCAGTTAGCGCCTGTTTTTTTTTTTTTTGACAGTAGCCTACATTGTATTAAAGGGGTCATATGATGCGATTTCAATTTTTCCTTTCTCTTTGGAGTGTTACAAGCTCTTGGTGCATA